ACGCACTCTCTCAAGCTACGCTAGCTAGATTCACATTACAGTTCACTTAGATCGCACCCGAGGTATCGTTATCTCTAATCCAACCTCTAAACCCTCGGTTATGACTCTCGCCTATACTCCGGGAGTGATGTTGTTCAAACAACTACCTAAATATGCACTCTCTCTCAAGCAGATACATATTAAATAGGAACGGCTGTAGACATGTGATTTTTTACCCTCCCCAAGATTTTTCATATTATAGCATGTAAATATTTAATGTAGGCCTAATATAGCTATTTCAACTATTTTTGACTTCTTTACTTTATTTTATTATCAGAAATGAAAATTACAAAAAATATTTTAGTTTATGTATTTGTCATAAATTTGAAAAATGCAAAAAATAGTACCCTATTTTTATCTTTATATAATTTCGAAAATACAAAAATAGTTTCATGTTTAGTTTAATTAATTAGGATTAGTTTTGACATGGTGTAGTATTTCTATCTTATTTTAAAAGGTATTGTGTAGTCTAGGGACCCTTCTAGGCTCTTCTTTAGGACAGAAAATAAATAAAAAGACCCGAAGGACTTAACANTGTTCTTGACTCCTTAGGTCGAATCTCCGGTCTCCTTAGCCTCCTTAGGTCTAAATTATGTCAAAAGTGTGTCCTCCTCCCTTCAAAATAGGTTTAGGACCCCTTTTATACAAGTTGGAATAGTGTAGGGCCGAAATAACCTTGTCCCGGACGAAATAGGACTTCTTTTTGACGCCTGGAGCAGCGCGGCCGCGGCCAAAACGCGGTAGGACCGCGGCCAGACAAGCTCTCTGATTTTCTGCCGCGGTCAGTTCCGCGGTCGCGGTTCCGACCGCGTTTTTCACCCTATTCCGTTTGGAATTTGGTAAAATGTAAAACATGAAAGTTGTAGCCCTTTGAGTTAGCTTTCCAACCATATATTGTGGTGCCCAAATGGAGTTCTGATCAAAAAGTTATGTCTATTTTACTAGACAGTACACAACATGCCTCCTCGAGTCTTCGTTCGTACTTAATTATCAAATTTGACCCCCGAACACGATCCCGGCTTAATTCCTTGAGCTTTTACTCAGACTTCAAAGCTTCAAATCACTTAAATTCATTCCATAACATCTATATAGCTCGGAATCACACCTACAAGGTATAAAACATACAATTAGTGCAAAACGCTAGCGATTAAAGCGCAAACTCAACTAAAGTGCAGTAAATTAGAGTGTAATAAGCGACTAAAATACGTAATTATAGCCTATCATCAAGGGACATCGACTCCTCGGTGATCATGTGGATTACATGTTGTGGTTCTTCCTGCTCATTTTTCCTTGCATCCCTTTCCTTGAAGTGATTCTTAGCTCGATTGCTTAGAAATTCTCGAAGGTGACCTTCGTTGAACAACCGAGCCACCTCCTCTCTTAGCTGCATGCAATCTTCTGTTCTATGGCCATCCGTGCCATGATACTTGCACATTAAGTTCGGGTTCCTATGGGAAGGAAAGAATTGTATAGGTCTGGGCCACTTGGTGTCTTTGATTTTTCCAATGGCTGACACAATCCCTGATGTATCTATGCTGAAGTTGTACTCCGGTAACCGAGGTGCCTCTGCCGGATCGGTATGCTTATCAAATCCATTTTTACTCATAAGTCCCCGAGAACTTTGACCCCGATTGTTTCTCCGACCGTCTCGAGGAGCGTTTCAACCTGACCCGTGGTTCCTTCGATCGACATACGGCTGATACCGTTCCCTGTTCGATCTCGATTCCCTGTTCGTATCCCTCGGGGGCTTGGCCAGGAACCTATTAGGATAAACTGAACCCGAGGGGGCTCCCAACTTGTCATCCTCGACCTTTATTTTTGATTGGTATCGGTTGTGCACATCTGACCACATCACAGCTGGATACTCGATCAAGTTCTGCTTTAATTGTCGAGAGGCAATTGAGCTCCGTTCATTCAAACCTTACATAAAGGCATGTACTGCCTAATCATCGGAGACCGGTGGTAATTCCATTCTCTCTATCTGAAACCTGGACACGAACTCCCTCAAAATCTCGTCGTCCCTTTATTTTATCTTGAAGACGTCTGATTTCCTCGTTGCCACCTTTATGGCCCTGGCATGTGCTTTCAGGAAGGCGTCTGCTAACATAGCAAATGAGTCAATAGAGTTAGGAGGTAAGTTGTGGTACCAAATCATGGCTCCTTTCGACAATGTTTTTCCGAATTTTTTCAACAAGACTGATTCAATCTCGGCGTCATTCAAATCATTTCCTTTGATCCCGCAAGTGTATGAAGTAATATGCTTGTTAGGCTCGGTTGTCCTGTTATATTTGGGTATATCGGGCATACGAAACTTTTTAGGAATAGGCATCGGAACCGCACTTTGGGGGAACGGTTTTTGTATGAACTTTTTGGCATCCAATCCTTTCAAAACTGGGGGTGCCCCCGGTATTTGGTCTACACGGGAGTTATAAGTCTCCACCTTCTTATCGTTATCTTCAATTTTCTTTTCTCCGGACTCGATCCTCTTAGTGAGCTCTTCGAGCATTTTCATAATGGTGGGGGCAGTCCCCGAGTCGTTTCCATTTGGCCTTTCCGGCGTTGGTTCAGCACGTCGATTATTTTCATGTTCAGCTACACTCGGGGTCTTATTTTGACTTTGAAGTCGAGCAATGGCGGCCTGTTGGGCTTGCAACATCTCGAATATCACTTGGAGGCTGACTCTCCCATCTCCTGTTCCTGGTGTTCCTTGGTCCCCTGGTCGGGCTTCCCTGCGTACACTCCCTTCGGGGTCTGTGCCTAAGTTGGTGTTTAGAGCATATGAGAACCAACATCAACTGGTTCCATGTTTGGCACTTCCCCATGGTTTTCCGGCGGTACACCGATCCCTATATTGTTATTTTCACCAAGACCTTCGTTGTCATGAACATGTGCATTCTGTGAGCTAGACATGTTTCAGCCCGAGAATCAAAAATTCTTGACAAGAAAAGTGTAAAAATAACGTGTGTTATGAGAATCAGTAAAGAAACAATCACTATTATCTTTAGCCCCACGGTGGGCGCCAAACTGTTTACCTTACGAGTAACAACTAAATTTGATTTGTGAGTTTAAAGATATGTGATTTAGTTCAATACCAATTAATAATCAAGAAATATGAAGTAGAAGTGAAAGAGACAAGTGAATCAAACCAATATTACTTGACAGTAGTGACATCGAGATAGTGACCTCGAGATGGGCTAAGAGCAATAAAGTAAGAAAAGTAAAGCAAGAGCAGTAGAGCTAAAGGACAATGCCGATGAACAGTAGGCAAAAAGTAGAGAGTATATTCTTTTCTCAATGATTATGTGTCGTTACAAATGATTGGGGTCCCCTTTTGTATAAAAGGGGAACCTTAAATAAGGAATATTTCTATTTACAGTAAGGAATATTCTTGGTACATCTGTCTAACTGCCTAGTACGGAATCGTACAATCCTATTCCGGGATTTGCGCCATGATCATAGGAATGTGGCAGGAATCTAGCTTATTCCGTTATAAATTCATAACGGTACTGTCTGGAGGTCGAGCATACTCGGCCTCTGTATGCATTGTGCTCTATCTTTGACCTCGCCCGAACTCGGTCCCTCGAGCCTATAACCGGAGGCATGCGATTATGACCGTATACACATATCTCAAACAGATAATTACATAGCCTAGATATGATTTCTAACATGGATAATAACTCACGTAGTCATACAAGTGGAAAACACACGGGGTGTGATAACAATATAAGGCAGTAGCCTAAAGTCTACCTGGAACATGAATAACCACAGTGTATGAATATATGCTCGTTATCTAGCACGCGCGTCACCTCCAACATGTATCAAATACCATAGCCAGCGGTAAGTTACCCTCAAACCAAGTTTAGACAAGTTACTTACCTCAAAGTGCATGAATCAATATTGCATAAATTCCTTTCCACGCGAAACAGCCTCTAAATGGCTCAAATCTAGAAGAAAACAACTCAATAATATCAAATAAAACTATAGGAAACAACCCCAAGCAATAAATAAAAGATGAATGTATTAATCGTTTTTGCAATAGACTAATAAGAAAATAGTGTCAAACAAAATGGAACAGAGGGAATACTTCTTTTATATTAATTGAAAGGCAACATATTAGGTATTCCTTGAACTTGACGACTTTTATTTAGTTTCCCCTTTAACTATACAAGGTCTTTAATATTCCCTAAACTTAGTTTTTTTTAAGATCCCATATAGTTAGTTTTTTTTTAAGATCCCAGATAGTTAAAGAAGGTATTTAAAATCCAACATAGTTAAAGAAGGAACTAAATAAAAGTTGTCAAATTCAGGAGGTTCGTAATATTCTTACCTATTTAAAGAGATAGCTACAGATAGAAGTTAATAAAAAATGAAATTAATAACTTACAAAAATAAGATAAATTACCTATTACTCCATCTGTGAGATGATGTAAGAAGGGGTGGTGGGGTGGTGGTAATACTTTTACTATTATAGTAGATGAGTTCATGTACTTCTATACTTAATTTTAATACATTAAAGGTGCGTATAAGAATAGTACTCACTCCGATCCACAATAAATAATTAATTTGTCTTTTTATTTTGGTTCAAAATAAGTGTCCTCTTATATAATCAAGAAAAAATTCAATTTATTTTTTTCCAAAATTTTCATGTACATATGTCTAAAAAGTCTTTTACTCCTCACATTAAATTACTTTGCTACATTAAATTAAGGATAGTTTAGTCACATTAACTATTTTTATCTAGAATTTAGTATTTTCTTAATGGGTGTGCCCAAGACAATTGGTCACTTATTGTGGACCGGAGGGAGTATTGAATACGCTGTATTAGTAATGTTGAAAACTTGAAATTAGTAATACTGGGATTAGTTATGTTGGGATTACTGCATGAATTGTTTTTTATTAACTGTTTAGTTTGGTGTATTAAAAATAACATGCATTGCATAAGTTTTAAAAAAAATATTTGTTTATAAAAATACTCTCCACCAGTTCGTTTCATCTTCCCCACACTCCTAAATTCCTAAACCCCTAATTTTTACCATTTTTTCCCTAAAACAAAAAATTCCACTTCCTTCATCACCAAAAATGGAGTTTCTCTTTATGTTTCTGAAATTAACTTGAATTAGGGTTGTTTTATTGACACTGCCAATGGCTTCTGAAGAAATGGGCTTGGTTTCGACTCGACGAGTGGAAAATGGACTCAATCCACACTCACAGCTCGTTTTCCATGAAACTTTTAGCTGTGGCCCACCACCACCACCTCCTCGGCGCTGCGCTGCCGCCATTAGCGGTGATCCGGGCCCAAAAACGACTCGAGAACTTACCGGATTCATCGACAAGTACGATAATAACCATCACCACCATTACTTCCCTCATCAACCGCAAGCTGCCGATTTTCGCCGTCAAATGTTCGCCGATGACCGACCTGGCGATGGATCGGAGGATGATGACGTGGATGATGACGAGGATGATGACGATGATGAAAATGAAGCTGAAGGCATCGTTATAGTTGAAAATAGTAATAATAATAATAATAATAATCATAATAACAACAATAATAATAACAGTGATAAAGTTAATAATAACTGTAGTAGTAAAATTGGCAGTGAAAAACCAAAACCCCTTTCTGCATTTGGTAAGTGTTTTTTGACAATTTATTATATTTCCTTGTTTGTTTTTCTTGACTAGGACTTTTTTCGGATTGATGCGTAGTTGACTATTGATTTATTGATATGTTGAGTAAGGTGCTAAGGAATCAGGAAATGAGAACAGCTTAGACGCGAGAAATGCAGTGACAATTGCTAGTGTTGATGGTGAGGTTTATTATAATAGTCAGTATTTGCAGGGAGGGGAAGGGTCAAATGCAGGGCCGAAGGAGATGGGGTTTGAGAATGGGTGTAGGTTTAGTGGGAGAAAGGAAGGTTGTTATTCAAGTGAATCAGGAGAGTCTTTGAGAGCTATTCTCTCCGATCCAATTATGTAAGTTTCTTGTCCTGTGATCCCTTCATCCTATTTATATGACAATGTTTGACTGAGCACAGAGTTTAAGAAAGAAAGAAAGAGTTCTGAAACTTGTGGTAAAAATAAGTTATAGACATCTGTTTGACTGTAATAATCTCACTAAGGGTAAAATGAAAAATTTAAAGTTAAATTGTTTCAAAATATAGAAACTTATCATTCTTTCGGGACATACTAAAAAGGAAGAGTATCACATAAATTGGGTCGGAGAGAGTAATCTGTTTTGGCTGTTCGCTTGTTCTTCTGGTTTAGCTGCGGCTTTCTAGATCTTAAGTAAATCATAAATTGCATTATGACTCCTAGGTGTCTTAAAAAGGCAAGTTATTTAGTATTAGAATGCGATGGGCCAAATGGAGGTTTCATATAGATGGCCTCAATAAATTTTGGATTGTGGTGCAGATGATTGATATTGATAAATTTGGTGTTGATAAGATTATTAAAGGTTGTTTGCTTTCTTGGAGCTCTTAGTTTAGACTTCGGACAAAGACAATTAGGGTGATCCCACATGTTAATATATTTGCGGGGTCAAGTGACTACTGGTGCAAATGTGCAATTAGCAGTTATATGCTAGAGGTTGCTTTTTAGGCGAATGCATTAAGCTGCAGTAATGTGGATGCAATTAAAACTAAATCCTGCAGGATAGCATATTATTTTAGCTTTAATCAAGTGTGATCTTGCTTGAGAATAAAAGAGTATAGATGCTTTCTCTAATGCTAGCTCTAGTTTCTTAGTTATACTGTAGGCGTGCTCTGCCACTTCCTTTCTAGTTATAGGAAGAAAAGAAAAAGGCATTTGGTGGGATGAAATGACTTATTGAATTTTACCTAGATGACTCTTGTAAGTTTTTTTCAGAATCTGGGATGGTTGTCGTTTTGCCAAATCAACAAAAAAGAAACATAAATTGCACCCAAGGGTGTGGCCTAGTGGTCAATGAATCAGATGGAAACCTTGGAGACCAGTGTCAAATTCTAGTAGGGACAAAAAACGCTAGGTTATTCTGCCTAAGTATTGGTGGGTAGAGTTATCCGGTACCTATGCTGGTGGGAGATAGCAGGTACCCAATGAAATAGTCGAGGTGTGGAATATTTTACCGGTTGATTTAATATTACCCCCTCCATTTCGTTTTTTTGTGAACCTGTTTGATTGAGCACAAAGTTTAAGAAAGGAAGACTTTTGGAACTTATAGCCATGACATTTCTAAGGCTATATAATCATGACACTAAGGGTAAAATGAAAACTTAAAGTTAAATTGTTTCTTAATATAAAAAAGATGTTCTTTTTTAACTAAAATGTCACATAAAATGAAAAAGAAAAAAATGTCACATAAAATGGAAAAAAAGGTGTATGTTGTTAGCTTATGCCAGTTTTCCCGCCTAATTTTCATTAAAAAAATCTTCTGAATAGCCATTGGTCAACAAAATGTTCTCTTTTTGAAAAACGGCTAAGGCATGCTTTTACTTCTTCTAATGGCTGTATAATATTTAAGGGGTCTTATCTATTCTGAGTTATCAAATGATAATGTTTATAGTAGAGGTTAAAATAATCTTATGATTATTTGCTTATGTAGTTAAGTAGTTTCTTTCCATATTTGTATTTACCTTTGTTGGTTCATGCATTATTTTATTTGTCCTAGCTTAACATCATGTGCTCTTATAGTCTCTTTCTATACGTTATTTGCTCTTCTAGATTCATGCATTATTTTATCCATCTCGTTACTTGCATCCACACTTGATATCATGCTGTCAATTTCAGGGGAGCGCTTATGGATGATGCGATGATATTGCCTTGTGGGCATTCCTTTGGTAGTGGTGGAGTGCAGCATGTGATTAGAATGGTATGTTCTCTGGAAACAGTTTGTTACCAACTTTCATTGATACTCGATATTAATTGCATTTGCATCTAAACTTCTTTATATCTCTTTTCTTTGAGGATTTTGATATTCAATGCTGCTTAATCAACAAATTCTGTTTCAAGATGCATTAGATAGAGAGACTAACAACCTCATTTGCATAATAGGAGAATATGTTCCCGAATTTGGGGTTTGGCTGTGATTTTTATGCTTTTTGATTTAAGTAAGCATCTTTGGAAAAACTTTTCTCCACTTTCAGTTTAGGGGAACTGCACTGTATTTGATAACATAGTGTGATAACCAAGAAAATGCTAATATTCTTATTGGTTGGAGAGAGATGCAAATGGCAAATCAGATGCAAATGCCTTTAATTTTAGATTTAAAATTGATAGGACCAACTGTTATGAAACCATGTCACCTCCAAAAGCTATAGATGGACATTGCATGCCTACTCAAATTAAATCTCTTGTCCCTCCTGTCAAACAAAAATAGTTACATAATCCTCTGTTTGCCGCATCATCTAATGTTGCTTCACAAAATATTTCTGAAACTAAGTATTTATCTTCTTACCTTAATAGTTCTAGTTATGACATTTTTTTTTTTATGACATTCATTGATATCTAATGAATGTACAAATTCACATAAATGCAAGACACAAAATTTTCATTTGCTTTTTCTCCTTCTGTTAAAAGTTAGGTTTTCCTTTCACATTTGCAATAGGAAGTTGTCTTCTCGCACTTAAGTTGACAACAAGGTCCTAGAAAGAGAATATGAATCTGTGGTGACTTTAGTCCGTGTGCTACTGGACTAGTTCTAAAGTAAGTTTCTAATTAGCCTTTATGGTGTAATTGCAGAAAGCTTGCTATATCTGTTCACACGTGGTGTCCGAAGATTCAGTGGCACCAAATTTATGTAAGTATATGCTCTGTACTTTTGGTAGATTTAGTATACCATTTACTCTGGTTTCTCTAATACTTGATGATTCTGTCTGGTGGCATGGACTCATTATCCAGGAAGCACCACCATGGTTCATGGTGGCCCCTATCTAAGAATAAAGTTGTAAGCATGCCCTGATCGTAGTACCTATCAACGGACTGCTATCAAGACAGTAAAGATAATTCATTGCCTCAATAACATTTTCTTCTATCCAACCGTGGTCACCACTCGACCTCTCACATCAGTTCAAACAATGTCAAGAACCTTTAGCACCATTATGTACCTTTCCAAAGCATCCTCACAAGCCTTCATGCCAGTTCCTCGAGAGCAAGTTTGTTGAACTATCCACCACTGCATGACCCTATGAGAGTACATAGCTAGAAGGTTTAGAGCGATGACACATTTTGTGACCCTCTTTAAGACATTGCTTTTACCTTCCTCTAATTTAGAATACTGATTTCCTATTTTAGCCTATTATTTTAAGTTAATTCCACTGGCCTTCTATAACCACTTTGGCCGTTCATCTGTAGACATCTCACCCTAGCTTCCAATAAATCGACTTGTTCTCAGACTCCTTTAGAATCAGTGAATCACCTCACTATGCTTCTTAGTGTGCTTATGACTGTAAACATCTCATGTTTCCACTTTTGGAATGCACACTTCTACCTTTATTAAAAAGACAAGAGCTAAGTCTTCTTTCTCGATCACAGTATAAAAAAGAAAATTATTCCTTCATCATGCTTTCTATCTCACTACGTTCGCATGTTAAGCTGCCTATTTCTGAACTACCATTGCTCCAGTGTCCGTTCTCTCATTCTCTGTCATCTCTATCATTTTCACTTCTTCTGACGAAGGCAACTCTATTCTTGCAGTTGATTTCCAAATTAGAAGCAGCAAACTATAGCAGACCGAGGATATCTAATTAACAACCTGCATGTTTTGGCTGTAGCTTCAAATTTCAAATTCTAACCTTAGTTAGAGTTAGAAGGGCTTCCAAACTTGTTGCTTAACTTGTCAAAAAGTAAGATTGCATTAAGTCAACTGGATAAATTTCTTTACTAACGCCTCGGGGCTTTGGTCTGGTAGTAAGAGAACAACTCGTGATGTGTGAGTTAGGCGCATGTCACTGGTTTGAACCTTGCCAACAAAAGCTTGGTATTTAAACTGAAAAGGTAGAGGAATGGCCCCATTATCCATCGAGTTTCGTACTGCGTGCCACTGGCTCTCGGGGATTTCTCGATTATAAAAGAAATTTCTCTAACATCAGAAAGTTATGAGCTGGCTCTATCATATTCATAATTGTATGATCCTAGTTTTACACTCTTTTTGAACTTCTAATCAAACTTGTCTGTACTTGGAAGAACATAGATTGAAGGGTCTTTATGTGCTTCACTGGTCCTCTCTATTGTTTCTGATGACCTCTATTTACCTTTCCATATTTCTGTAGCTCTTCGAGCTGCAGTTCAAGCATTCCGTCGAGAAGAGGAATCACAGCTTAATCGTTCTTTAAAAAGAAGAAAGGAGAGATATGACCAGGTTTGCCACTTTTATTTCTTTACCTGTACCACGACCTGAAATTAGGTGGAAATAGTGTTGAACGTTGTTTAATTTAGACTGAAGATAAAATGAAAAATCAGGGAGAGTTACATCTGATTGTCCTTGTGCTCAAAAGGCTGACTTCACCTTAAGGCCTTAATATCATATCGTGATGCAGGATAGAGGGTCCTTTGGTGATTCGCCGCTCTCGGATCATCTAAGAGGAAGAGGTGTTCAGTTTCCATTTGCTGTCACAGACAGGGTTATTATAAAGGTTCTTCCAGTAATATCTGAATTTCAATTACATTTCCAGATTGGTTTTGAATGGGCTATCTAATTGAAATTGTTAATCAAATAGGGTAACAAAAGGACACCTCAGCGTTTTGTGGGTCGTGAGGCTGTTGTGACCACTCAGTGCTTGAATGGATGGTACACCTCTTTGTTTGCATCATTTGGTTTTTCAAATTTCATTACATCCTTTTTGACCTCCCAAAGCGATTCGCCATGACTTTTAAAAAGTCCACTAAATTATCCTTTGTGCTTAGGCTCTCAACATTTGAGTTCTATATATCTGTTAAGCCTAAAAGGTTATAATCTTCATAAATCTAGACTTCTCTCGCTCTTGGGGCTTTGGTTCATTGGTAAGATGTAGCGTAATGTGTGGGTCGATTTCGAACTTTGCCACAGAAAACCCCTAGTATTTAAGTGGAGAAGGGTAGAGGATTGCGCCCATTATTCGTTGAATTTGAATCGTGCGCCTGATTCTCGAGAAGTTCTCGGTTATTAAAAAAATTTCTAGACTTCTCTAGCACATAGCTCAGATAAGTGGTATGCCCTTTGAATTTTAAAATGCTTTAGTGCCAGTCAGACATGAAAGGGTCAACATATTTCATTATATTGCATCCAAATCTTTGACCTTTAAAATGCTTACTTTGTGTAAGTAGTTTTTTAAAAGAATTCTTCAGCTCATTTAGGTTTCTCGGCCTTCTTATATAAGGAAAAAGAAGAAAGGTTACTCTTAAGTTTGTTGCATTTTGCTATTCCCTTCAAACTTCTTGTCTCAGATTGTCTTCATTGGCTTCTGAGTTTTATCTTTCGACCTAATGATATCATATTAATTTTAAGTGCACTGTTGAATCCAGTTTATTCAACTTTTTTGTTTTTCCCTTTTTTCTTTGTGGTATATATCTGGATTTGCATCTATATAATTGATATCGCGATTTGACCTCTCGTCATCTTGCAATATCTGATAAAATTCTTCAACTACATGTCTAATGTTGTTCCGTAGTGTGAGGAAGATGGAGTACTAGGTTCAACCTTTCTTAACACTGAGAAGTTATTACCTGTTATTATGAATGTGTTGTATCCCTTATGTCAGGCTTAAATAAACACTGGTCAAGATGTTTTTAAAGATTCCAACCTCTAATGACTGATTTTACCTATGAGGACTGACTCCTTATTTGAATGTACAACTTGTGCAGGTATGTTGTAAAGACGCTAGACAATGCTGAGAGTGTAAAGTTGCAATATCGCTCCTTAGCCAAAGTTTCAGATAACTTATCAATCCAGCCAATATCAAGTAAGATGGCAGCCAATTGGCTGTAGAGTTATATTCAGTAGAATGATCATAACTCTCTCGTCCTAACTTACTGCACATATGCCACGTTTGATACATATAGTCTAACTAGCGACATGCATCGAGTTTTTTCAGCTGTAATCTAGATCTTGTATCTGTTCCACGCGATTCTCAGGCATAGGTGTTGTATATTGTAAAGGTTGTCTTGTAGCACTACAGCCTTGAGATGTAATTAGAGATATGAATTATAGAGCCACACTTGTTTAAAATAAATGAATTATAAGGAGTCATTCCACAGGACTTTGTACTGACTGGTACCTTTCGGAAATATGAAGATTAAATAATCTTACTAGTACGAGTAACAACAATGTTTTCATTGTTTTTTCTTTCACATAGTAAACATGGACCAAAAGTTGTGGTCCGGAGTATAGACCATATTACGATTCAAATTGTGATCTCTTGACCATTGAATTGTTCACTTATCGCTGTTTGTTACTTCATAACCAACAACCTTTAAGTTGTGTCAAAGCACTCTCCCTAAAGTTCTTAACTCTTACTAAACAAAAATGAGTGCAAAACAATCCCATTCCTCTACCAGCTCCAACTCTGCTGGTTTTCAACAGATAACAAGCTGGTCCAAATTCAAGTCCTTTCCCTTGTACAATTAACCCCCAAGATTTTGTCAATCCTTCAACTGAATCTTCATCTGAATTGTCATTTCCATTTTCATTTAATTCTCTATCTTCTTCATCTCTAAGTTCTTCAACATATATTAGTCCATCTGGGATTCTTTTTTCTCCACTTTCCCATTCATTTTTCATTATCCGCCATTTCTCCGCTAAGGCTCTCTCTGTTTTGATCTGGGGTCTTCTTTCTTGCCCTCTATCATCTTCTTGCGCGTAAACGTGGACTAGTAATGGCGCTTGCTTCAAGTTCTTTACTATGTCAACCATCGATTCCTTCATCCATTCGTCAAGATTTTCCGATACTATGGCTTCCTTTCTTTGATCATCATCTTTGACAACTCTGTCACAGGGCTGTTGATTTGATATAGAGAGAGATGCAGAAACACTAACAGGCCTCCTTTGCACCATTTGATTAGAGACTGAGATAGATGACTTTGAAACAAATGAATGTGTACTAACACATTTGTGCATAACATTCTTGTGTACAGACCATGTTAATCTTCTCTGTATCGTTTCAATTTTACCCAATGTTCCTACCGGAACAATAGGATGAATCTGTAACGACGTCATTTTGGGAGTATATATATCAATCTACTAAAATTGTCTTTCTTACCGGGGAATTATTTCCCCGGAATGGTTTTTGTTTTAAGGAATTTGAGGAGTGGTTTATATGAATAAAAATATTATTGTGTTATGGCCTTATGGCTGCCATTGAAAAGGTGACACGAGCATAGAATGCGCAGTTATAGCTAAGGCACAAGCAAGGAATAGGTTGGGTAAAATAGGCACACGCCTTACCTTTGACATGTATTGTTTGAGACCAATCAAATTCATTTGTTTAGTGCTGAGGTGGAACCAATGATATTATTGCACGTTTATGAAAAGATGAAACACCACATATTACAATTCTCTGAGGTGAGAGTTTCTTTGGCTATTTGTAATATCTACTTCCATCTCTCTCAAAATGTTGGCATTTTTGTTTTTTATGATATTCAAATTTAGTAGACTTTATGTAAAATATAAACTTTCATAAAAAAAGTTAACGGTCCAAAGTTGTATTATTCGAAATTTGTCAACTTTGCCATCCGTTACAATGTTGGTGCCTACATACTATTGACGTTAGCAGATCGTCTAATATTTGCTTATCAAATACGTAAAACGTTCTTTTAAGTTGCGTTTTACTTCCAAAAATTTGACCACCCCCGGAATGGGCATTGCCTTATTTAAAGGCGTTAAGGGTTTTAACTAAAATCATTCAGTAATACTCCAACTTTGTGATAAATTTTTCTTGTTAAATTCTCAAGCTTTTTTCATAATGTCTCGAAAAGTAAAGGTTTCATTGTATTTTGGGGGGGGGGGGGGGGGGGGGGGTGGAGGTTTGTGGTGGCGAATAACTCAACGAGTTATAGTTTATCTCCACAGAGTCATGTTAAGTTGCCACTTACAATGGAGTACGATAGACTGGTATCGTTGTTATACAATAAAATGAGGTTGAGCAAACGTTTGGTGAATCTTAAAATAACCGGAAGATATCCGTACTCTGTGACTCCGCAAGGGGTTGCTTGTTACGCTGAGTTTAACATCGAGGATGATGAAACTCTAGAGATTTTTTGGGGACTCCGGATGAATACCGGGAACTTATTTTGATAAAAATGTTGGAAATGTACGTGAAGGTTGAAGACATTCGCAATAATGAGGTTGCGCAAAGCAGGGATAACCCTCAATCATCGGGTGGTTATTCTGGAGCAATTTTAGCCCAACAGGTTCCGGCTGAAAGAGTTTGGTCGGATCTAAACTTATCTCCACAGGCGAACGAGGAGCGAGGAAACAATTTCTCTCCAACTTTACATAATCCACAAGACGACTGGTAAACTTCATTTTTTCCTTTGTGTTACGATGTTTATTTTTGTTGTATTGAATTTGTATTAACACTCATATATTCCACATGAGGTACTGTCCAGATATAAATTTTACAAGTTATGAACCCACGCCCAGTTGGAATATGCGTAGTTTTGATGTGTTGGATCACGGTGGTCCATCCGGGAGTCATCACCAACAGGATATGTCCATAATTTTCTATTCTTACTTATTCTGAGTCTTTGCTAAATACTTCAACTATTAGAAACATGAGTTTAATTAGTCGATTTATTAGTGAACAAGGAAAAATATTATCAAGACGAGTGAATAGATTGTCAAATTCTTCAAATTCTATTAATAATAAATATTATCTAATCTCTAATTAGTAATTAGAATTCAAATTCTTAATTTAATTATAATTATTACAAAATATCTTTATTTATATAATAACATAATAACCGAAGTCCTGGAGAGGAAGATGCATCTTGGGTTGACGTATAGTGCGACTTGTCAGATATATTGGGTCATATGGTATTTCCCCGGGGTTTGAAACCAAACTCCTCCTCAGGAGGCTAGATGGGGCGATTCGGGTGAGATTGGAATGTCAACACATTACGACTTCTAAGAGAAGTGATATAGCTAGATGTAAAGTATTTATCAATTTGAGTAGCTTATTATTTTGTTGTTTGTGCAGTGAAAACGAGCAACTTGATGGTCCTGTCCTTACTCAGTTGCATGTAGACGAATTTACTCGGGATTTGGCAGATGCGCAGAGTCAGGAAGATAATAGTGATTACGACAACAATGCTGACGAGTCTGGAGATGACACACCCTTCCCTGACGAGGATGATGAGGAGGAGGAAGAGAATGCCGAACCTGAGCTGACGATGGGGCATGCTCCACCTCCCGTTAGATCAAGAGTGTACGAGTCCCACGTGCTGTTTTATTCCAGGCATATTCCCTACCTTGATCATTTGCCAAGTATGCCGGATGTGGATGCCCTCACAAGAGATCTTGACGAAATTCGGACAGCAATGTGTGATGAGTCTAGACCAACGGTGCTGGCAAAGAGCATGCTTTTTCCTGATAAAGCTCGCCTAACCAGGGCTGCGAAAATGTACAGCGTAAGAGAGTGTAGTGAGATGTGTCATACCTCCTTTTTCTACCACATCCCCGTAAGGGGGTATAAGGGAGTTATTTCCAACTTGAAGTGACAATCGAAACGGGATTCATTTATTAAGAGATTCAGAGTCGCCACTTGGGATATTTATGGTGTCCCAAGTCACCGGTTCAAGTCCCGAATCGAGGAGAAGGATGACTCTGTTTAACAGTCCGCGAACCAGAAATCCGGGTAAGGAATTCTGTTAACCTGGGAGAAGGTGTCAGGCATTCCCGAGTTCCGTGGTTTTAGCACGGTCGCTCAACTGTTATATTTGGCTTAATTACCTGATTTTAATGCATTTTTTGAACCTATGTGCAATTTTAACTTTAACCGCTTTTATTCATTTTTAGGAATATTGCAACGCTGTTAAAACACGTCTTGAACCACGTCACATAAATGCATCCGTGATTTTTGACATATTTTAACTTCGTTGAGATTTGAATTTGGGTCACATAAATATGCACCCGAATTTAGGAAAGTAATATTGTTAAAATACGCGCCTAAAGCAACTACGCATTTTTAAATTTGCGAGGGCCATGAAAATTCGCTAATGGCACACCTCGAATTTTAAAGGGTTAAAATTGATTACTCGAAGGCCATGAATTAATTGATTTCCTATGTTTGGGATTTTCCACATAATTTCCCCTTCCAAACACACGGAACATCAACAACAAGCATTAAGTCATCATCTTTAACTTCGTAAGCAGTGCGTTAAGACCCTTTATACCCTTCCCTTTCTAAATATTCACCTATATTGAGTTTGAACATATTTATTTAAAGATGTCAAAATTAAAAGCAATACTACTTTACTGGCAGTAGAGGTGAACACAGAGCTTGGCCAAATTTCATCGAACAAAGGACTCCAACTATTTATCCAGCAAAAATATTCTACAGAAGGCAACTTTTACAAGAAAATCCTAAACACCTTTCCGTTCTTTTGCTAACATAAGGCCAAAGTCAATTGGAGTCTAAGGCAACTAAGCTCAGCCTCAAATTTCACCAGAGGAATTATCAAACAACATAATCAATTCAACCCAAACGACGAGATTCAAATATCGATATACTCAACTGCCAATAATGCGTTCAGAATGTGCGACTTCAGATTCGCGTCATATAATCAGAAAATGAACTAGGAAGAACGAGAGATGATTCTTAAATAAACTAGACAAAATTGATTTATTCGACTAAAGCCATGTGTAAGCAAATAAGAACCGTAAAATCAGGAGAAGTATGAGTCAAAACGGACCTGAAAATTACAGCAGTTACAACTTTGAATTTCAGCAGTTACAACTTTGGAATTAAGGGAATCCTCAAGATGTGATACCCTTCCAGTTACAGTGACAGTGAGACGAACGAGACTAGGACCGGAAAAACTCTAGCATCGGAACGAACTCGAACACCTCAACCTCCGGCAAACAGTAGGGTTTTTGAAGCAAAGAAGGAATATGGCTTAACAACGACTCCAACCTCCTCACCCTCGGAGAAATCATTGAAGTCCTTTGTATAGATGGATCTAAACTCGAATTAGAACGATTGGTCAATTTTCAACCGGATTATTTGCCGGTAACTTCAAAGAGGACCAACAATCAGAGCTCGACTGACTCAAAACTTTGACAAACTCGTTTTCGACTGGTAAAACTCGAACCTGACCCAGAAAACATCACTCAAGCTTTGGTGGTTGGTGAGGAGCTTTATATGGCTGTTGATGGTGGTTCACATGGTTGTTTCAAGGGGTGTTTGGGCGTTCTCGTCGTCGAAGACGATTGCCGGGGGGGGGGGGGGGAAGGGTTCGTTGATGAAGAGCTGCACTCAGGTCCTCGTGAAGAAGACGAAAACCAGAGGGTGGGTGCTCTCTTGATGAATACGGCGCTTGATTTTCAGTCCCCTTTCGTGTATAGGGTGTAGGTATTACTATATAGGAGTAGGGATTAGGTTAGGTCAAATATGGAATAGGGTATGTGCTTAATGTTTTGGGCTATTCCAAATTGGGCCTTTTCAATTAAGACCAAACAAAACTAGCCCCAAATTTAATACTCTTTCTTCTAACACAAGACCAAAAATACTACACCAATTATTAATTAATCCTATTTGAGTAAATAACTATTAAAATAAAACTGACCGTTAAAGTAAACTATTACTATTTTTTTGTATTTTTCAAGATTAAAAATAACTACAAAACATTAATGGAATAATTTTTGTAATTTTCATTTTTATTGTAATAAAATAAAGTGAAAAAGTAAAAATTAGTTGAAATAGCTATATTAGGCCTAAATTAAATATTTACATGCTAAAATATAAAAAATCTTGCGGAGGGTCAAAAATCACATGTCTACAGCTGCCCCTCTTTGATTGGAAACGCGAAGAGATTTCAGACAAAGAATGACTAGACAGGTTTTTGACCCGACCCTTATTTAGAGAGACTAAAACTAAGAGAGAGGGGAATGTGACCGAGCCCTAGTATCTGAGCTGCCTACATATCCTTGGCTATAAAGGAATCAGGCCACGTGTAGTTCAGAAGTGAGTGAGACGATGGAGTATGCTGAGGTGGAGAGCCGAGTGAGGTTCCGTTTCGCCGAGGTTCCAGTCCGCGGTCCCGTTATTACATCAAAATCAAAAATGAAAAAGACTAATTAAGCCTATCAGTTACGAGTTACAAGATTCCTATCTATGAGTCTTCTGAAGCTTGATCTTGAGTCTTGGTTGGTGCTTCATGCGGACCCTGATCTGAATCTTGATGCTTGTTAGCCGCAGGTGTTGGTTCAATCTTCTTCAGCTTTTCAAACCAAGACGGGACATGGAGAGCTTGTGACCTCAGCCTTGTCTTGAGCAGCTCGCATCTTTCATTAACTTTTGCATTTGGACTCACTTCTTGCCTTTCTTTTTGTTTTTTTTCTTTTTACTCTGGAATGTGACTAACTTCTATTGATCATCTCGGACTGCTGACTCGCATTCTTGACACGAGCTTCTTTTGTTGCTAACCTGAATTGCATTCTAAATTGAATTCCCTTTTTTCCAGGTGGACGCTTGATTGCTGAACTTGAAATAGATGCCTCTGTTCTCCAGGCGGGCTCTTGATTGCTAAAACTTGAAATAAATGCCTTTGTTCTCCAGGCGGGCTCCTGATTGCTAAAACTTGAAATAAATGCCTCTGTTCTCCAGGCGGGCTCCTGATTGCTAAAACTTGAAATAAATGCCTCTGTTCTCCAGGCGGGCTCCTGATTGCTAAAAACTTGAAATAAATGCCTCTGTTCTCCAGGCGGGCTCCTGATTGCTAAAACTTGAAATAAATGCCTCTGTTCTCCAGGCGGGCTCCTGATTGCAAAAACTTAAAATAAATGCCTCTGTTCTCCAGGCGGGCTCCTGATTGCTAAAAACTTGAAATAAATGCCTCTGTTCTCCAGGCGGGCTCCTGATTGCTAAAACTTGAAAATAAATGCCTCTGTTCTCCAGGCGGGCTCCTGATTGCTAAAACTTGAAATAAATGCCTCTGTTCTCCAGGCGGGCTCCTGACTGCTAAAAACTTGAAATAAATGCCTCTGTTCTCCTGGCGGGCTCCTGACTGCTAAAACTTGAAATAAATGCCTCTGTTCTCCAGGCGGGCTCCTGATTGCTAAAACTTGAAATAAATGCCTATGTTCTCCAGGCGGGGTCCTGATTTCAAAAACTTGAAATAAATGCCTCTGTTCTCCAGGCGGGCTCCTGATTGCTAAAACTTGAAATATATGCCTCCGTTCTCCAGGCGGGCTCCTGACTGCTAAGACTTGAAATATATGCCTCTGTTCTCCAGGCGGGCTCCTGATTGCTAAAACTTGAATGAAATTCCTTTGTTCTCCAGGCGGGCTCCTGATTTCAACAAAAATAGACAAACAAAGAAGAATTTTCTATCCCAGTTTGGTGACTGGGCGCATCGTGTTACCAAATATTACTAGAAATTGAAAGCTAAAATCCTGAATTGTACTTCCCTTGTGCTCCAGGTGGGCGCCTGACTGTTGAACTTAAAATGTATTCCCTTGTTCTCCAGGTGGGCGCCTGATTGCTGAATCTTGAAATGTATTCCCTTGTTCTCCAGGTGGGCACCTGATTGCTGAAATNCCGTTCTCCAGGCGGGCTCCTGATTGCTAAGACTTGAAATATATGCCTCTGTTCTCCAGGCGGGCTCCTGACTGCTAAAACTTGAAATATATGCCTCTGTCCTCCAGGCGGGCTCCTGATTTCTGAAACTTGAAACATATGCCTCTGTTCTCCAGGCGGGCTCCTGACTGCTAAAACTTGAAATATATGCCTCTGTTCTCTAGGTGGGCGCCTGATTGCTGAACTTGCAATGTATTCCCTTGTTCTCTAGGTGGGCGCCTGATTGCTGAACTTGAAATGTATTCCCTTGTTCTCCAGGTGGGCGCCTGATTGCTGAACTTGACATGTATTCCCTTGTTCTCCATGTGGGCGCCTGATTGCTGCACTTGAAATGTATTCCCTTGTTCTCCAGGTGGGCGCCTGATTTCAACAAAATAGACAAACAAAGAAGATTTTCTGCCCCAGTTTGGTGGCTGGGCACAGATGTGAGTGTTAAACTGAATTATTCTACCAACTATTATAAGAATTTGAGAGCTAAGTCCTATTATCCAGGGAGGTCCTGACAACTCCTAACAATTACGAACCTAAGTTATATCTTCTAAAGGTATTACTCCCACTACATCTGTTATCTAATAGGTCTTAACTACTCCCCATTATCCAGGAGGGTCCTGACAACTTCTAGTTAAAAAAAAACAGTTTTAACCTAAGCAGACCTTGTTATCTATATCTTGTTATCTAAGCAGACCTTAAAACTACGTCCCATTATCCAGGAGGGTCCTGAAAATCAAAATTCAAGTCTTATCTTAAGAGTGCCAATTCTACGGCTGAATTATACTATCCTACAACAGTATCTTGTTATCTAAAGGAGATCTTAAAACTGTGTCCCATTATTCAGGAGGGTCCTGACAACTCCTAATTGAATCCTATCTTAAACAGGCAACTTTGAAACCAACTTATGTTCCTTGGGGTACATTTATGCTAAATTATGCTACTCATGATTGTTTTGAAATTTAAACTAAGTCCCATTTTCCAGGAGGGTCCTGAGAACTCCTAATTGGATCCTACTTCAAACATGCGACTTTGAAACCACTTATATTCCTTGAGGTATCTTTATGCTAAATTATGCTACTCATGATTGTTTTGAGATTTAAACTAAGTCCCATTTTCCAGGAGGGTCCTGAGAATTTACGGTCAAACCTGTTTTGGTGCTTGCTTTTTCCTTAAGGAGGGTTTCTCCGAAACCAACGAAAACTTTCTGCCCCTGTTTCAATCAAAGAAAAATCTTGTCAGTTTAAAAATGGTGGTTAGTTGATGGCACTCTTGCTGGATGACGTCTCCGCTGCATGTGTTTTGCCTTGCCTTGCTTCTTGAACTGGCCCTGAGCCGTTTGCCTTTCTGACTGACTTTCGACCCCCACGACCTTCGATGACCTGAGTGTTTCATACCCAGTCTGTTGCTTCTGCCTCTCTGACCCCTTTTATCTGAGACTTTGCCTCTCCCCACAAAACTATCTGGCCAATCCACCGACGAAACTTCCGATGATCCTTTGTGTCTTACTTTGCATTTTGACATCTTTGGTATGTTCCGGCCCTGTTGTGCTTTGCAACTGGGAAACTGGTAGTTAGCCTTGACATCCTTTCCTCTTTGTTTCGGACAAGACCGACATTGAAACATCTTAAAGAACAGACCTCAAAAAAGAATGAAATGCAATGACCTTGAGAGTTAAGGATAAAGAGAATCCAAAACCGGACGATTTATAAAAAGGACTGAAAAGAAAAGAAACTTATCTGAGAGGAACAGCTGGTACCATTGAACATGTCATGCATTTCGGACTAACCGGCCCAATCTGTCCAACCAATCAACGTTCCATTGCTACGCTTTATTGCTCCAGGATTTCATAACCTGATTTATTCAACCAAACCCTAACCTTGTTCGTCCTGCAGTGTCCTGAACTGCTTTCACCCACAGGCCTATCTCATTTGTCCATCTGAAGACTCACTTTCGCCTTAAGGTGCCCGCAAGGGTTTTCACCAATAAGACTCTCTCATTTTAATTTCTCTCAACTCACCATCGCCTTATGGCGCCCGTAAGGGTTTTCATCAATAAGACTCTCTCATTTTTATTTCTCTCAACTCACTTCGCCTTACGGTGCCCGTGAGGGTTTTCACCAATAAGACTCTCTCATTTTCATCATTTTTCTGCTTGGACCAGAATGTTGTCCCTAACATAAATCACCTCTTCCTGCTCGACTTGGCATTCCCCGAAGACTGATCAGAAGGTCTTTCTTTGGACCGTAATGCAGGCTTTTGGACATGGTTAGAAAGAAAGGGTATCAAAGGCTCAAAAACAATTCGACGTGGGTTCAAAACTATAACTTTCGGAATCAAATCTCTTGCACAATCACAACTTCTGCCCCAGTTTCTTCCTTGGGGACTTTTGGACTTTTATTTCGGTGTGACTGAACCTCAGAGAGAGGCTGCCTACGTACCCTTTCGGGATCAAGTCAAACGTAGTTCAGGTCATAGGAATTACTTTGTTGTTGTGATTTTTCCTTTCTTTTTCTTCCATTTTCTTTTCTTTTCTTTTCTTTCTTCCTTTCTCTTTTTGTTGTTTTGTTGTTTGTTTTTTTTCTTTTTTTTTTCTTTTCTTTTTCTTTTTCTCTTCCTTTTTTTTTCTTTTCTTCTTCCTTTTCCTTCTCTCTCTTTTCATTCTTTTTTTTTCTCTTTTTCCTTGACTTATCTTTCACGCTTGTGTTTCTGATCTATGGTACTGATTCCGAAAGAGGGGTATGAAAGAAAACAAATAAGACTCAAAGGGGTAACGAAGGATAAAGTGTTTAGATAGCAGAACAAAATGCCTTCGTCATTCCAATCTTCAAAACGTGCCAAGTACAAACAAATACAATTAAACCAAAGAAAATCATACATACTATCTCTTGACCGCATCGGAATTGATGGCCATTTCAACACACTTGCCTTCTATGTCTGTTAAATACAAAGCACCATTGGACAACACTCTTGTCACGATGAACGGACCTTCCCAATTTGGGGCGAACTTGCCTTTGGCCTCAGCCTGATGTGGAAGGATACGTCTCAACACTTGCTGACCACTTCGAACTTCCGTGGAGGCACCTTCTCATTATATGCTCTTGCCATTCTCTGTTGATACAATTGGCCATGACACACTGCTGCCAATCTTTTCTCATCGATCAAACTCAATTGCTTAGGGGTTCTGACCCACTCGTCATCATCAATTCGGCTTCAGCGACAATCCGAAGGGATGGGATTTCAACTTTTTGGAATTAGCTTGGCTTTTAAAACTGGGCCGAAGATTCCTCATGCATGTCATGTCATTGAAACCAGCATAGAAAGAACTGTACAAGAAAGAAAAGAAAAACAAAAATAAAACTATCAGGAGTGAAGAAGAAGGGAAATTACATTTCATTGAATTTAAAGATAACAAGGTTCAACACATCCAAACGGACGGAACATAGAATCTGAATTGCAACCCTGGAATAATCCAGAAAAACAGAAAGAAAATCAAAGCCGACTACCAAAACTCCCTCCGAGTAGGGAGAGGAGTAGCTTCCCAATTGTTGACCTTCACATTCGGCTTGACAAAATGCACCTCTTCGTTACCAGAGCCTCCCCCAATTTCCACCGTGTTTACTTCATCAAATAAACTTTGGACCCTCTCAAATCAACTCCTCATCAAAGACAACCACAGGCTTTGGAACTGCTGACACCGGATGCTTCACTGCCCCTGGCTTGACAATGACGGGATCTGTGTGGACACCCTCCATAATCACGACAGGCTTGTTCGACACTCCTGGCACAACCACTTTTGCCCTTTCTTGTCTCGTTGCAACCTCACTTCAGGACCCTTTCTTGACCTCCGCAGATGGCTCACTGCCTATCCCGCCCCGCCTGATCACTGATTTCCCACTTGTTGACTTTTCAATCGGCCCGACCTCACTGGACCGAATCATCATGACGGTTTGTGAGGGCTTCTTAGGCTCCCCTTCCTTATGCACTATCTCGATCATATTTGTCTCATGATGGGCCGGCAATAGATTCTGGTTGATATCGAGCGCCTTTTTTTTTTGCCCATGCTTGATACATTTGGCCATATGTTGCTTTAGCTTATGCATCTCCCCCTTCATTGCATTAACATCCAATTCTTCCTCCTCCCTCGACGGATCGACGATGCTTGCCTCTAACTCCTGGTTGACCATGTTTGATTTGTCCTTAGAGCGGGTGTTATAGGAGTGGGTTGCCAGAATGCCAGTCAACTAACCACCTTCCTTGACTCATCATCAACAACAACTTTGTTAGCGGTTAGAGCATTAACAGATAGGTAGCCGCACATTTGGGGAATGAATGCACCTAAGCAGTTAACCATTTCTATTATGCCTTTGCTTGGTTGCATGCGTCATCCCGGCTTTCTTTTTTCTGTATTTGCCATGCCTTTTCTCTCGTTCTTCCCTCTTGTTTTTCCATTGTTTGTTTCTAGCCTTTCCCTCTTTTCTTTTGCATTTTCTCTCTTATTTTCCCCTCTTTTTTCTTTTCTCTTTTTCTATTTGTTTTAATTGGTTAAGGTCGAATCCTATGGAGATTGCCTACGTATCATGACCCCGCATGAATCAGACCAAGCGTTGTTCTTGCAGATAAAAGTTAATAAAACAACAAAATATTTTTTGGAATTTTCAATTTTTCATAACAAAACAAACTTCGATTACAAAGACTTGACAACTAACAGCCTTAAACAAGAACTAACAGACTCCGATGAAAGACGAACTACAGACTCGAGGAACAACTAACCCACATAAAAAGAAAATACAGACTCCAACACAAACTGACAGACTCTAATGGAAAAGAAATACAGACTCCCATAACTAACAGACTCTAATGGAAAAGAAATACAGACTCAAGACATCACGAATACATTAGTGCTTCAATTGTCCAATTGTCCTTGGGACCCGCGAGGCATCATTCGGCCTTGCCGCGGGTCGACTAGC